CCGCATTTCCGAGACGAATCTCAGATTGCGGAGAACTTCGTCAGAGCTTTCTTTGCGGGCTATGACAACGATCGCAGCGAACTTCTCAATGGTGTTTATGACAAGCATTCCACCTTTACGCTCAACGTCAACACGTCTGCTCCCAGGGCTCAACAGACGGAGCCCGCGCCATGGGATGCGTACATCAAGAAGAGCAGAAATCTACTCAAAATCAACCACCTCCCCGCAAGAATGTCTCGGGCTTACAATGGTGCCGACAAGATTCGTGAACTCTGGACCAGCCTTCCCGCCACGAGACACCCCGACATAACAGCACACCCTAACGAGTGGCTGATCGAATGCTACCCGATTCCAGGGCTTCCAGACCCTTCTGGACAGAGTTCGACAGGCGTTGGTGGACTTCTCATCATGGTGCATGGAAAGTTTGATGAGATCAGTGGGACTAAGGTGGAGACGCGGAGTTTTGACCGGACGTTCATACTCGGACCCGGTGGCGGTATGGGGGGAATTAGGGTCATCAATGATATCCTCTGTTTACGAGCCTATGGAGGACACGAGGCATGGGCTGTGGAGAACCAGCCAGCAGTTCCTCAGGCCGCTGCTCCGGCGGCACCTCTTGCGGCCCCCGTTGCGGCCCCTCCGGCGGCAGCTTTGCCGGGCGCAGTGCCGGGCGCTCCAGATGGCTACGGCATGCCGGTGCCTGGAAAGCCGGACGCGCAAGTACAGCAAGAGCAGCTGGTGCTGCAGATGAGCTCCAAAACTCGGATGACCCTACAATATTCCGAGATGGCTCTCACTGGAAACGGCTGGAATATCGACGTGGCGTTGAAGAATTTCGAGGAACTGAAGGTATGTATTTCTGCTCTATGATGCACTGGTGTAATTTGGCTAACTGGACTCGCAGACGCAGGGAACATTGCCTCCCGACGCTTTTTTGCCTGGGCCCTAATTGAGATGATAGACGGGCCGAAAAGGGGTCAGCGAAGGGAACAGGGGGCACATTAATGGACCAAACGGGAACATTCGCAAAGGCGACTCATTCCCACCATCCCGGTTTGGTCCTTGCATGTTTGGGTTTCGCATGGGGGAGGGGGTCTGGTGGTGTTTGCTTGGAGTCTATTTGCTTTAATAATTGTGTGATTTGCTGCTGCATGCATGGCTTGGGCGAATGGCTTTAGGGCTGGTGCCCATTTCTGAAGCTTTCAATTCTATGTACTTTAAAAGACGACGATCAACTTCATGTCCATATAGAGGGGGGGAATCTGGGGTGCCAGGAATAACTACACGATATCAAGCCACCTCCGGGGAATATTGTAGCCTACTTACATGTAGCCAGTAGCCACCCGGTATTGTATCGCGAGTGCTGGGATGATGACGAGGCCCGCCATCCCGCCAAGCGGCAGCGCTAAGAGCTGCCCGTGACTGCCGGCGGACTGACTTGTCGCCAACTCTCCGGCTCGGGCTCGCGAGCTCATCCCAAGCATCCCTCTCGGTCTTTACAGCTTCTCCTTTCTGTTCGCTCCTTTTCGGGTCCCTTGCGTGTGGGTCTATGCTTACACGGTGAATTGGCGAATGCCCCTTAGCTGGCATCGCAGCATGTGCCTGGCGTTGACAACGCTCAGGAGCTAATGGAATGTCCGCCACTACTACCACCACCACCACCAACCCCGGCCAAATGCCCCCCAACGGAGCGGCCAACCTCGACCCCCTAGACGCAGGTGAGGGAGGCCATTGCAGTGCTGCCTCGCCGGAACTTTTGCTAATGTGACCAATCCCACAGCGGACTATGACCCCGTCGACCATTTAAACACGATCTTCTCCCACCCCTCCACGCTGTCGTCCGTGTCCCAGGTCTCCCAGACCCTCCACGAATACGAAGATGAACTCGACAACGATATCGGCGCACTGGTGGAAGACCAGGTCACTTCCAACGCAGAGAGCGTCGAGCGCATTCAAGCTGCGAAGGCGGACTTGACGGAACTGTTCAAGAAGATCGACGACGTGCGCGACCGCGCGTCCTCGACGGAGTCCGCCATTACGGAGATGACGGCAGACATCAAGCAGCTGGACAATGCGAAAAAAAACCTCACCCAGTCGATGACGGTGCTGAAGAGATTGCAGATGCTGACGACGGCGTATGACCAACTGCGCGCCATGGGTCGGACGCGGCAGTACCGGGACTGTGCTCAGCTGCTGCAGGCGGTAATCCAGCTGATGGCGCATTTCAAGTCGTACCGCTCGATTGATCAGATCGCTCTTCTCAGCAGGAATGTCGCGGACATACAACGGGAGCTTCTGGAACAGGTCTGCGAGGACTTCGAGCTGGCATTCGCTAAGGGGGAAATCGGCCAGAGTAGAACCCATCTTTCGGAAGGTTGTCAGGTCATGGAGGCGCTGGGTGATCATGCAAAGTCCAGGCTGGTGACCTGGTACTGCAACTTCCAACTGCGCGAATATAGACAGGTGTTCAGGAACAATGAAGAGGCCGGGTCGCTGGACAACATTTCTCGTCGGTATGCATGGTTCAGGCGCATCCTGAAGATCTACGATGAAGAGTACGGAGTCATATTTCCTTCATCTTGGAGGGTCAATGAGATTCTGTCGAATGTCTTCTGTGAGGGGACGCGCGAGGACTTCAAGGGCATTCTCTCCCGATCGGTGCGCAATGGCCAGACGATCGATGTCAACCTGCTACTGTCGTGTCTGCAGGAAACCCTGGACTTCGAGCACTCCCTGGAGCGGCGGTTCGTCGGTTCATCCCGCCCTTCGACGGATACGTTTGCCTCGAGCGAGGCACCTGTCTTTGGCCAGGCCATCTCGGAGGCGTTCGAACCCTATTTGAGTGTCTGGGTGGAGGCTCAGGACAAGCAGCTGGCTGCGCTGATGCCCAAGTATCGGCAACAACCTGTGAAGCCCCCAGATGAAGAGTTCGATTCGCATATTGTTATATCCTCGTCTACGGATCTTTTCACGTTCTACCGGCATTCGTTCCAGCAATGCGCGAAACTGTCTACCGGTGCAAGTCTAGCAGACCTGGCCAAGGTCTTTTCAAAGTATCTGGATCAATATGCGCAGCAAGTTCTACTGTCATATATCAGTGAGCGGCCTACGGGTCACACTCCGTCAAAGGTGCCGGATATAGAAGACCTCATCTTGGTTCTCAACACCGCGGATTACTGCTACACGACCTGCAATCAGCTGGAGGAGAAGATCAAGGGCCGGCTCGACAAGAACCTCAAGCAGTCTGTGGACCTGCAGAGTCAAGCTGACTCGTTCATGGGCATCGCTTCTGCGGCAGTTCGAGGGCTTGTGCGGAAGGTCGAGATTGACCTGGAGCCCTGCTGGCGCGAGATGCGCAACACGCCTTGGAACCGACTGGAGAGCGTCAGTGACCAAAGTTCCTACGTGGGCGAGCTGATGTCCAAGACGCAAACGAGATCCTCGGAGCTCCTTCAGTTATTGCATAAGCAGCAGTACGCCCGCGCTTTCGCGGACCATGTTGTGGAGTTGATCTCAACTGTATTCATTGCGACCATCTTCCAGTGCAAGCCGGTCTCTGAGACCGGAGCGGAGCAAGTAAGCAGACCCTTTACCGTTGACATTTTAGGAACACGCACCAACTGACGCATGCTACCAGATGCTTCTCGACTCATATACCCTCAAAACCGGTCTCTCATCGCTTCTTCCCAACCCCACGCCCACAAGTTTCGTGAAGCGCGTCAACGCCAGCTTCGCAAAGATCGAAGCCCTTCTCAAAACCCTCCAAGTGCAACCCTCTCCCCCCGAGGCCCTCGTCCAGGCCTACCTCATCCACATTGCAGACCAGAACAACCAGAACTTCCGCAAGATCCTCGACCTCAAAGGCATCCGCAGTCGCCAGGAGCAGAACCACCTCCTCGAGCTGTTCCAGCTCCACCGAGCCTCCGACCGCTACGCCGCGAACCTCCAACAGAGCAACCCCATCCTAACCGCCCTCCAGACCTCCGCCGCCCCGACCTCCAGCTCCGTCTCCCAGGGCCTCGGCCTCGGCACTGCCGCGGCGTCCATCGGCGCCTCCACCCTCCCCACGCGCTTCGACCCCTCCATGCTCGGCTCCGCCATCATCTCCGCCGCCAAAGACGGCGTTGACCGCTTCGGCACCCCAATGGGCTCATCCAACCTTGCTCCCCCCGGAGGCGCCATCTCCGGCGCCTCCGCCTCCCCATCCTCCTCCACGCCCGGACCCCTGGGGCTGGGACAGGTGCAGGCCCAGAGCGGAGAGAGTACCTCCTCCGCGGGCAATCTGAACGAGAATCTGAAGAACATTGGCAAATTCTTCCGTCGCGATCTAGGTGGCTTTGGGGGGAGGTTTGGACGGGGCGGTGACGATGCCAATTGACGTGTATATTTTTCTAGCGAATAGCATTGTCTATCTATTACTTATATCCACGTGTTTGTGTATGCAATATACCTACCTACACCTTTCGACGATGCTCTGGGTGAAACTACTCGATAGGTTTAGGGTTCGGATACTATATAACTAGCCTCCTCCCCACGTAAGTATCCGCACAAAATGATCAAATCCCATGGCTTCATGTCAATAATACAGTAGTTACTACACCCACAAGAGGCACATTTTCAATAAGCAGCATTATCTCATCCAACCATCTATATTATTTTTAAATCCACTAACCCCCCTCGTCGCCCAATACACCACCCATGCCCACACCCCGGGGCCCAGCCACCAACCAACCAGCCCGAAGAACCCCATCCAACAACACCAAAACAAAAAAGTAAATGATAGACCAGCGAAAAAACCCAATCCAACATACAACCCTACCCAGAAAAAATAAAACCATCCAAATTAATCTCTCTTCCCCCCCCCAAAAAACCCCCAGATACATACCTACCTCCCTACACAATCCCCACATAGCCAGCAGATACACAGTACACAAGTCCACCCCAAAGATGGATGGTATCTGGCTAATAATACTACACTCTATCCGAAATTCCATCAACAAGTCTTCATGGTGTAGTTGGTTATCACGTGGGTCTCATATCTCAGCATATGACTTGGAAGCCTCTCAACTTCCGGGATATCCCAAGGCCGGGAGTTCGAACCTCCCTGAGGACAGTAATTTTTTCTTTCCCTTTTTTTTATATGTTTTTTTCACTTGTGGGGGTTTGGATCTAAGGCTATCAACTATCTGCTATGTGGTGTGTAAGTATGACATATATATGGGTGGTGGTGTGTTTTTTTTTTTACTGGGGGGAGGGTGGGAGTGAAGCTATTGGTGGATTATATTGTGTTGTATGCTTTGTTGGCTATATACCCATGTCTTGTTAGGCATGGGTGCTTACTGTGGCTTGCAGACATCTAGGTTTGAGGTGCCTGGGGCCTGATGTGGATATCGAGTTGTAAGTAGGGAGGAGGAAAGGCGGCGCCAGTCGAGATCGGCTGGATAGCGGTGCTAGCTGTATCTACACAGGATCAAATGAACCCAGTTCAGACCATGAATGTAATAACCCAAAGCCATATTGTAGTCTATAAACTGGAAACGCTCAACCCCCCCATGTCCTTCATGATCTCACCCGGAGTCAACCAAAAGCTGCCGAGGAAAGAAAGTAGAAAGCGAACTCATATAACATCATCTCATCCACTCATCATGTTCCATAGCCCCGTTCCCCATGTGACAGAAAGGAAAGAGAACATTAACGTAAGGGAATCATGGTATGATGGTGGAAATGCAACTAACACAAAGAAAATCTCCATTGTCATCTCCCGAATCTTCAGTGAAACGCCATCGCAGAAAGAAACCATCGCGTGAACATAACAGAACCGAGCAGTACCGGGGCCGAAACCCCTCACATGGTATCATAGGCGAATTTCGTCAAGCCCCAGCACATCTCCCCCTCATTACCCCGTTTACTGCGACGCGCACTGCACCCGCTCAGCTCCAGGAGGAACATCGTCGTCATCCTCGTCCATGGCGTTGGCGGCACCGTGGGCGCGGGCCTGAGAGCCCTCGCTGCCGTCAATGTCCTCGAGTTCGAAGTCCTCAATCATGCTGTCGGCCGGGGGCTGGGGCTGCTCCATGCGGGTAGGCAGGACCTGCTCGAGCAACTCAAGGTTCTTGAGCTGGTCCTTCTCGGGGAACTTGACGTCGAACTGGATGTAGAGGTTGCCGAAGTCGTGGTGGCGGAAGGAAGGCATACCCTGGCCCTTGATAACCTTGATGGCACCTGGAGAAAGCCATGTTAATCCGATGCTTTCAGAGTTGAGACGGTTCAGAGAATACATACCAGGGGTGATAACCTCACCGGGGGCGATGTTGACGGTCAACCATCGGTCGTCAAGGTGCTCAATGTTGATGGTACCGCCGCCGAGGGCAGTGAGAAGGTCGATCTCGGCCTGGTAGAAGAGGTCGTCGTCCTTGCGCTGGAAACGGTCGTGGGGCTTCTGCTCGATCTCGAAAACAACGTCTCCGGGCATGACGCCGGGCATCTGGTCACCCTCGCCGCGGAACTCGATCTTGTGGCCGTTCTTGACACCCTTGTCGACGTGGACGTGGAGGACCTTGCGCTCGACGATGGTCTTCTTGCCGCTGCACTTCTTGCAGCGGTCGCGCTCACGGATGCTCTCACCCTCACCACTGCAGTCGGGGCAGACGGTCTGGAAGCGCTGGATCATGGGACCCATCTGGCGCATCATGGTCTTCATACCGGTGCCATTGCAGCCGGCACAAGACTTAACGGCGCCCTCCTTTCCACCGCGACCATCACATCCAGAGCAGATGACGGACTTCTGCAGGGCCAGCTTCGAGACCTTACCGCGGTAGATGTCCTCCAGGTTGACCTTGTGCACGTGGTGGATGGTGCGGGCCTTCTTGGGGCCCTGGTCACGCATACCACCGCCGAACATACCACCGAAACCGCCGCCGCCGCCGCCGCCGAAGAATTGGGCGAAGAGGTCCTCGGCGCCCATTCCACCGCCGGCACCGCCATGCTCAAGACCCTCCTCACCGAGCTGGTCGTAGAGGGAGCGCTTCTGAGGGTCGGACAGGGTCTCGTAAGCGTGGGACAGCTCCTTGAATTTTTCGGCAGCTTCCGGGTTGTTGGTGTTCTTGTCTGGATGGCGAGAACCGCGTTAGCGAACAACCGGCCTGCATGGTGCGGACGGGCTCCGTTCGAGCGGGGCCGATTGGCACTTACCAGGGTGGTACTTCAGGGCACCCTTCTTGTAAGCGGTCTTGAGTTGGGCCTCGGTGGCCGTCGGGGGAACCTAGCCGCCTCACCGTCAGTTTTGCTCTGCTGGAGAGAGAAAAAAAAAAAATTCGAAACTCACCCCCAGGGTATCGTAGAACTTCGTTTCCTTGACCATTGTGAACTAAATCCTGAGGACAGAAAGGAAAAGCGAGGAGGTCGCAGGAAGGATGAAAAGTCAAGGACGAATATAGAAACAAGAACTTTTCGGAAGGAGTGAGGAGAATCAGTCCCAGCGAACTTCACACAACAGGGGCTGCGTGGAGAAAGCGACAAAGAAGCGACGAGACAAGGGCGAGCACAGGACTCGTGAAAGGAAAGGCGTTGAGGGGGGAAGGGGAGAAGAGAGTCTCTAAGCCGCGAGCGGGAGGGAGAGGGTGGATGAGGGAGGGAGGGAGAAGGATGGTCGTGAGGAGGAGCCCGGCCGGGAGATTATCAGAGCCAGGAGCAGAGCGGCGACAGGCGGGCGGCGGCTGCGAGTGAGCCTGAGCCTGAGCCAGTGAGACTGGCGCTCACTCCCCAGCCGGCGTAATCCAATTACGGGACCAGGCACCAATCGACTGCCAAAGTCGCCAAGCGTTTCCAGATCCTCGTATCCAATACTCCGTACCGGAGATACGATGGGGCGAAACTCCGCGGGGATGTATACTGATACTAAGTAAAGCGCTACTCTCAGTTGCTAGAGAAAGACAAACGGGAGAAAAGGAAAATAAATAGATACGATTGATCTGACGAGAACCGAAACCCTCGTGGTTTTGAATCAAGTTGACCTCTGCATTGATCGATGACCCCCGGTCGTTTGGGGGCGTTCTCCTCGACTGCTTGTCACGGCATTCATGGCCCGAGCGCGACTTCCGGCTGCTTCGATGGAATTCGGTGCTCTTCCATCCCCTTCTCAGCCTTTCCACGGCTGACAATCTCTGGGTAATTACTGGGTTTGTGACCGCCACGGGCGCTGAATTGGCGTGGGAGTCTTGGTCTCTCTTACGGGGTGGCTTACCGGGCGTATCGCTGGCGATCTGCGGGCATTTCCATCCACTTCCACCGGCGAAGTATACGGCTGACTTATACTAGGTAAATTGAAATCATTCGTCGTACCTATGACCAGCATTTACAAGCAGGTGCTCTGGGCTGAGGGTAGCCTACCGTGGTGTAAAGGGTACTGCCACTACCCCCGCAAATGCTACCGACCCTGGAGAGGGTGAAACTTCTGCAGGAATAAACTTTGATGTGCTCAGAATCTTCAACGAGTGGCACAGACTGTTGCCTCAGGCACGAAATGGTGTGGCGAAGAGCGGTGGCTGAGGGAGGTAGGCTTATCGATAAGCAGGTGCATGGACGAGGTGCCCGATGCGGAAGGAGGGGGAAATTCCCGCCGTGCACCGAACCCGGGTTGAGCAGGAGCAATGCACGCCGCCTTCTTTCCCGGGTTGGCAGTGGGATGCCCTGGATTCTCTGGTCGGTCTGGTCTGTCCGGGGATGCGACGGCAATGGTTCTGTCGGCCATGACACGTTGCGACTTGGCAACAGAGATTGCACGGGGGGACTGTTATCTCCCGCTTTCCGCCTTCCGCCTGCTGTCACACTGCCGGATGTCATGTCATTCCCAGCTGCTGTCTCTGGCAGAAAAAGTCCGGTGGGGGGAACAGGTTGAACTCACAGTAGAACTTATGATTGAATTCTCGCATGTTGGAGATTTGTCTTTCCATTCTAACCTTATCCTACCGAATACAAGGTAGTGTAGGTTTGCGCTCAAGGACCTTATGCATGCCATGTCGAGAAGCAGCCTTGGGACCACCTGCAGGTCACTACTATCAGAGACATTGTCCCACTCAACCTGACAAAAAGCAAGTAGATACATAGTAGCTAACTAGTATCTAGTGGTCAGACCAGATCTGCACTGGCCACAGCTATCTATCTATCCCTTTACCTACTACTATCTTCACGGAGTATTCCGTACTGGCAGCACGTACCCGATCCCCATTATCATGAAGCTCCGCCGACCCCGGGCAATGCGGGACCCGTCCGACTAAAACCGGCAGTCGGCCACAGAGTTTGCTCCGCTGCTATCTATCGACGTATCTATCTGTCTATCTACCGGCCTGCTTCCTCGTTTCCTCTGCCCTTTCTCTCCCTTGTGACCAGACCTCCCACCAATTTAGAATCACCTTACTGCTATCATACAGCACAACATGGAGACCGATCCTGGATTCATCGCGGCTGTGGAGGAGGCTAAGCTGGGTGCCGCCGAGGGTGGAGTACCGATTGGAGCTGCGCTGGTCTCCAAGGATGGCAAGATCCTGGGGCGGGGACACAATATGCGTGTGCAGAAGGGTAGCCCGGTCTTGCATGTTCGTTGACCCCATCGTTTTTTTCTTTCTACTCAATTCTTGTCTGAAAGCAGTCAATCGTACATCCCTTGGGTTTCTAACATGGTTCCTGATGCGATAGGCCGAAATGTCCGCACTCGAGAACTCCGGACGTCTGCCTGCTTCCGCTTACGAAGGTGCCACCATGTACACCACCCTCTCGCCGTGTGACATGTGCACCGGCGCCTGTATCCTCTACAAGGTGAAGCGCGTTGTGGTCGGGGAGAACAAGAGCTTCATGGGTGGGGAGGAGTATCTCAAGAACCGGGGGAAGGAGGTCGTGGTCCTGGATAATGAGGAGTGCAAGCACTTGATGGAGAAGTTTATGAAGGAGAAGCCGGAGCTGTGGTGAGTTTTGTCCAATATCTGCTGGGGTCCCATCCGCTTTCCGTGTGGTATCTTGGGATAATTCTTTGGTTGTATTCAAGCTGACTGCCATATGTAATTGCAGGAACGAGGATATTTCTGTCTAAATTTTGATCTCATGAAGCAGCGGGCGTTG